TATTACCTTTAACAGATTTTGACTTTTAATCCCTGCTTTGCGAAACCATGTTTCTCACCGCTTAAACAGGAAAGCGTTTTTCAGTCCCTCCTTTCAAAAGAAGGACTGAAAGGTTTTTTTGGTGAATGTGCTTCAAAAGAACTTAGTTTTTTAACAACACATTTGGATCCATAGTTTGCACCATTTGCAAACGCTGGTCAGCATAGATGTCGGTATACGGTGCAAGGATGCGCATGAAACGATCGAAATACAGCATCTGTTTAAATAACAAGGCAAAATCACGCGGGAAGCGAATACCGTGACGCTCGCCTACTGCAACCATATCCATCATGATGTCATTCAAATCTGCTGGGTTTGAACTCAGCAATTCTTGCGGATCTGCCAACAACACACCACTAAATAAACGCTCAAGATCTGCGGCCAACACCTGAGTATCAATCTGCACTGCGGTCATGCCCATTTTCAGCATGTTTTCCGCCATGAGTGCATAATCCGTTTTTTGTAAGGCATCCATAAAGGCGATACAAGCTGTCCATACTTCAGGTTTCAACTGGCCCACAATTCCAAAGTCAATAAAACCGACACGACCATCATCAAGCAACATCAAGTTTCCAGCGTGTAAGTCCGCATGGAAGCTATTACACATCATCAGACTACCAAACCATGTATTCATGGCAGTAATCAGGACTTGTGATGGATCTTTGCAACGCTGTTTCACCACATTAAAATCGGTTAATGGTACACCATATAACCGTTGCATGGTCAGCACACGGCGAGTCGAATATTGGTGATAGACCTTCGGTGCCATGGCTTTATGGTTTTGTGTGATATTGAGATAGTTCACAAAGTCATCCAGATTACTGGCTTCTTCAATAAAATCGACTTCACGAACCATGCGGGTTTTGATTTCTTCCACAATGTCTGCAAGCGATGCAAATTTGACTTTAGGCACTGCTTTTTCTAAAACCTTGGTTGCCCAGTGCAGAACATTTAAGTCGGTATATAGAATTGTTTCTACACCCGGCTTTTGTACTTTAATCACTACATCTTCACCCGTCACTAGCTTTGCAGCATGGACTTGGGCAATAGACGCTGAAGCTAAAGGTGTTTCATCAATCGATGCAAAAATCTCAGACAGGTTTCGGCCTTCAAACTCAGACGCCAAAACCCCCTGTACATAACTAAACGGTAAAGATGGAGTTTGGTCTAAACAGCCTTGAAACTCTTCAACATATTCACGTGGAAAAAGTGAAGGTGTACTCGCAATAAACTGACCCAACTTGATATAGGTTGAACCCAGAGACTCGAAGGTTTCACGCATCAGTTTGGCATTACTTGGTTTTTCAGTGGCGTACTTAATACCGGCACGTGCTGCAATGACTGCTGTTTCCCCAACACGGGCAACAGAACGCAGTCCATCTAAAAAGATATTGTTCTTCATAATATCGGTCAAAAATAAATTGTATTGAGTGTATCAAAGAATGAAAAAATTGTAGGCTTATCTTGCCTGACAAACGGGACAATCTGTATCTTTTTCGAAAGCAAGCAAACGTTGTTTCATACTTAGACCATCCCAAAGCAACAGGCGTTGTTTGAGTGCGGTGACATTTAAACCCAAGTATAAAAGTGCATGATGCGCTTGAAGACTGGCCATCACGTTCGGCGTGGTGGCCAAAACACCTGAATCTGCACAGCGCAGGCTTTCATTCGCATGTTCTTCTTTCGGGAACAGACATTCATAGCAAGCGGACTCACCTTCCACCATAAACAGTTGCCCTTGAAAACCAATGGCCGATGCACTGATGAGTGGAACATTGGCCGCTTTACACTGCTGATTGACCAAATACCGTGTCGTAAAATTATCACAACCATCAAGGACTAAGTCTTGACCT